GTGAGGGCAGTATTGAGTAGGGCCATGTCATAAGAACTAATTGCTTTTAGATGGGGCTAAAATTAAGGCTGAGCACAAAATCTATTCATCTATCTGTGGTTTAAACATGTCTCTGGTTCATTTGAGAGACATCATTATCATTTTTGTGATAGAGAACATTATGAATCATCTTCCTGGGGCACGAGGTGATTCCCTTTATAGTGTCAATAATTTAGTCATTGGTATAAAATTTAGAACACTGTCGAGAAAAAGAAATGAAACCTGTGTAGACCAGCTCTTGAGACTGTAATACATGAATTGTTGACTTATACCAATCTCTAGTCATGCGTTTGAATTCCTTTAGCAAAATTACTTTAAGATACATCTATCTTGTTGGATATTTCCTTTCAGTATTTTATTAATTTATATTTCTGAGTAGTATCTTATTGTATAGCTATATCAGAATTGGTGTATCTATTCACCTGTTAATGGACCTGGGCTCATTTCGACCTATTTGAAATAAAACTGTCATGAATATACATGCATCGGTCTTTGTGTGGAAACAAGTTTTCATTTATCTTGACTATATACCTACAATGGACTGGCTAGATTGTGTGGTGGTATATATTTAACTTTTTAGCACACAATCAAAGTAATTTCCCAAAGTGGTTGTACTATTTTACAACTTTACCAGTAAGGCGAGAGTCTACTTGTTCATACCTCTGCCACCATTACTATAACAAATCTTTTAAAAAAAAGTTTTTATTGTGATTTTGGTGAATATTTACAGAGCAGATCATTGGTTTTACACTCAGTAACACACACACACATTTTGTTTGAACTCATTTACTTCAGCCATTCACTGTGCATCCTTATCTTACTTCCTCCCCATGTGTCCTGTCTCCTCTCCTCCTCCTTTTCTAGCCCTCTGAACGTTGTCTTTGGATACATGCTGCTCTTTGGGTCTTAAGCGGTTGATTGTTCTAACATGGGGGTGAGTTCATTTCCGGATCTGAAGGGTGACTGAAGGCCACAGTCCTGAGGGGTCCCACCACTCTCTATTTGATAAATAAGCCTGGTGTTTTTTATGATTTTGAATTCTGTTCCACATTTTTTCCCATTATATCTAAGATCTTTCTGATTTGGTCCCCTGAGGAGTGGGAGTCGGACTCCTTCTTGTCCCTCTGGTCTCTGGATCCCCTGGTTTCCGTGTGTCTTTGCATTTCCGTCTCCCTCCTCTACTGTGAATAAGGAGAGACCAATAGCTTCATGTTAGCTGGAAGCTCATGAACTTTTAAGACCCCAGAAGCTATTCACCAAAGTAGAACGTAGGACCCTGTCTTTGTGGATTATGTTATGCCAATTGACCTTGTTGTTCCTGTCATACATACCCAAGACCAGAGTCCTGAGCCTGCAGACCCAGTGGCTCATTTCTGTGTGGTGTTTGATTAGGATTAAGAACTTTTCCTAGCTTCCCCGCCTGTATGCTCTACCACATTCATGAATATGTTTGCAGCTAAGGTAAATATATACACATATACAAATATTCCCTGGCTATGACAAGTTTTTCATTATGGCAGACTCTCTAATAGTTATGTTGAATTATTTCAAAGTGATCTAATTTGCATTTCCCTAATGACAAATGTTGCTGAGCATCTTTTTCATGATCATATTGCTATATAGAAGCTTTCGTTTTAGATCTGTGCTCATTTTTAGTTCATTTTTTTTATATGACAAAGCTCTTTCCCCCCAAAGGACACCCACTTGTTCTAGCACAATTTTTATAAGACTGCCATCACTGTCATGAATTTATTTGTACCTTTGTTGAAAATAAACCGCATGGATGCATGGATGGGTCTAGGTAGAGTATTTTTCTGTTCTGTTCCATTGATTTGCTTATTTTTATTTCATTACCATGCTGTCTTATCTTGTAAAATAACCACAATAAATAAGACAGTGTAATATAAGTATGTCAGAAACTTAAAATTCAGGATTTCTCAACCTGAAATCATTCCTTCATTGCTATTGTACTCTACTTCCTCTAGCAATCATCTTACTTCTGGTCATCTAAGATCGAAATCTGAGGCTTTTGCATTTTTTCCTTTCTTTCCTCCAATTTATCCCCATATCATAGTGATTCTTCTTTTTGATTCACTCTTGCGCTGGTGAATTCTATTCATTGTCTTTGTTCGGTTGTAGTTTTAAGTCTGTCATGAGATCTTAACTGGACTTCCTAGCCACCCTCTTCTCAGAGATCTGGTGCTTCAGCCATCGTAATACTCTGTGATTAGTAGTTAATGTGTCCGTCTCATCCATTAGACTACCTCCACCACATCACCCACCCTCAGTGAGTAGATCCTACTCATCGCTACCCCATAGGACAGTAGAGAACTGCTCCTGCAGATTTCCAAGGCTGTAAGTTTTATGGGTAGAGAAAGCCTTATATTTGTGCCACGGAGCGACTGATGGTTTGAACTGGTGATCTTGTGGTTAGCAGCCCTGCACATAATCAATTACTCCATCCGGCTGTCTCCTCCATTAGACCATGCTCATGTAAAGAAATATTTTGACTTCAGATTTTTTTTTGTTCTCAGTACCTACCTCAATATGTGACATATAATTGTTGTACTATGAATATTTAGTGAATTCATGAACTAATTTTCATGAAACAATACCATTATGGACAACAGATGTGGTTATTTTTTGGCCATTTTTGGGTAAGTTTATTTCAGTGCTTTGTTTTTTCCCAAAGCTAAAATTAGTTTTTTTCAATTGTAATGATTAAAGGTAAAATGGATTCTTTACTATAGTTCCATGTTTTATCCAGAATATATTGTACAGTAAAATCAATGATAACTGCAAAAGTGTTAGAATCTCCTTATGGGTTAGAACAGTCCAGATCTTCAATTATACTTTTCAAGTATGAAATACTGACTCTATTTTCTTGGAAGCAATAGAACAGCAAGAAGAGATTATATTTTCCCATAGTGCAAAAATATCGTATAGCTTCCATAAATCACTACCATCTTGGAATGTATGTGTTACAAGAGAGTAGGTGGGTGTCTTGAGTCTTTATCTTTGGAACTCTGCTCGTATAGTAGCCGAGTATCAATGGCTTCCAATATTTAAGTAATGATAGACTAGTTGGGGATTTAGGGACCTGAACTTTAAAAGGTGGCAGTGGTCATATGCTTGCTAAGAATTTCTGCAAGGAGTCACAGACCTCATCCATTTCCCCGCATTTAATCAATGAGGCGCTGTGCTGAGGGAAGGCATGAAAGATGGCAATCATTTTCTCCATGACTAAACTTTTCACGGGCAGCATGCTGCTTATTATTTCCAAGCACGATTCTGCTCAACCGTTAACTCTGCGCTTGTGCTTCATTTGCAGCATCTGGCGAGGCCCCAATGTGAACTACACAGACAGTTCGGGTTACACGGCTTTACACCACGCAGCCTTAAATGGACATAAGTAAGTGCCACTTATTTGGACCGGTATCCTGTGTGTGTATTTACAGCAGATGCTGTAATGACGTCTTTCTGTGCCTCTCTTGTGTCGCCATGCCTCCACTGGGCTTAGCTGAATCTGAAGATGCACCTGGCAGCAGCTGACCAGGTACACTCCGTAGGAGTGTTGTTGAGACTGACTGTGTGCAGATTGGATGCTGTGACGAAATACCCTAATGACTT